CCCCGTTCAGCCTCACCCTGGAGCCCGAGGCCCCCTTTCCCTCAGGTCCCACACAGCAGCTAGTGTTAGTGCTTGGGTCCTGTGAGGAGGTCAGGGAAAGTAGCGAAGGAAACCGTTCTCGCTGACGTGGGAATGATCCACGACTGGCCTATTCCGGGTCCCTTGTCTTTTTAGAAAGAATCTCATTAACCCAAGGTATGAGTCTCTAATGACGGGATTTCTTTAGAGTTCCTTATGGGGCGCGGGGAGCCCCCACCCCACAGACTGGAGTAGCCACAGGACTGGCCTGTGGGCGTCGGACCCCCAGGCCCGTGGCCTCCCAAGGGTTTGCTGGGCTTCTCTGTGGGCGGTGTGGATGTGGGCAGCCATTCCAGTCCCTGGGGATTAACACCGGTTGCTCCCCTGTGGCCTTTCGAGCCCGGAAGCCACGACACACCCTGTGCTCTCTCACGCTGTGTCCTACAGGTGGGTCCCCGTACCCGGGCGTGCAAATGGACGAGGACTTCTGCAGCCGTCTGAAGGAAGGCATCAGGATGAGGGCCCCCGAATACGCGACTCCTGAAATGTGAGCCCCCGGCTGCCTCCCTTCCCCGTCGGGCCCACACCCTTCCTGCCGGCACACCCCAGAAAGGAGATGCGGTGCTGACCTTTGGGCTCCCAGCCCCGCTCAGCCACGGGGATGAAGGCCTAAAGGTCGCTACGGTCCTCCGTTCGCTAGAGACCCATGAGGGGGGTTTCACTTGGAATTCAGGGGAAGAGGGGTAGGAGAGGCAAAGGGGACTCTCCTGAACGAGGTAGCAATCCCACTCCGCGTCCTCCATACTCCATGGACGTGAAGGCTTCTCTGGACTCGTTTTAGGAGTGGGCAGCTGTGTGGAGCTTCTCGAGGGGGCTTCCCGCTTACCATCCTAGGACTCCAGGCCCCCCGGGAAGGCTGTCTCCACTGTGCCAATGTTCTCCGGCCTCCCTGGGACGCTCTCTTTTCCTGAAGCTTTGTGGACGTTTCGCACGTGAAGGCCTGAGCGGGAATGTGATGACAGTTGCAGTTTTCTTGAGCTGCTGACAAGGGCCTGGGCCTCCCCAAGGCGGCACCACCTTTCCTGAACTGGCAGGCGGCCCTCTCGGTCCCACCCACACCATGGGGTCTTGTCAGAAGCCCCGGGATGGCCTTTGGGGAGAAGTCCGAGGGAACGAAGGAAGTGTGGGCTTGGCCGAAGTGCAAGGCTGTCGTCTCTTTCCTTCAGCCTCTGGTGACAAGGCTAGGTCAGACGCAGGACGAGGACGGGGACTCGGGCCCATAAAGGTGGCGTCGGGGAGTAGCTTGAGTGCAGAAAGGAGCCGGGGGCACCTGTTCTGGTCAGCCCTGCACCGTGTCTGCTGGGTGACGGGCAGAGAACTTGAGGCAGGGCTCCGTTCTGAGAGCTGGGACCGGAGCTAGGTCAGCCCCGAGGACGACATTCGGGCTGCGGGGGGGCGAGGGGGGGGGTTGAAGGTGTTGAAGAGGTTTTAATCGCTTGCTTCCTTTTGCTTGGTGGAGAGGGGGCAACCGCCAGATCCGGTGTAAAATGAGAGGACTTTGCACTTGACGGTGTTCTAAGCGTCCCTCTCCCCACCGTCCCCCGCCCCGGCCCACAGTTTCATCTGAAATTCCCAGAAACCTTGAGGGGCAGACAGGCAGATGTTATCCTCTGAATTTGATGAGTAATAAAGCTAATCCTCTCAGAAGTGATTTGTCCTCTGTCAACCAGGTAGCAGAGGAGACGTTTAGAAGCCAGTCTTTTGAACTGATTTCCCTGGCTCACAGGACTGTTAAATTAGAAAGATACCCCACATGCCTTAGAAAAGAGGTTTCTCTAATATGTCCACTGATGCTTTGAATATTTCCACTTTTCATATGATCTCATAATCACAAGACTGGTTCTCCATTACTAACCATAATCATAATTGCAGCCAGTATTAGGTAACGTCTAATATTTATTAACTAAGTAGTTATTTAGTGCTCAAGTGCCAGGCCCTGTTTTAAGTGTCGTTTAACATATATTAACTTACCTGATGCTCGTAACAACCCTCAACGTAGGCACAACTATTACCTCCAATTTACGGATAAGAAAACCAAGGCACGGAACATCTAAATGGTTAGTCACACTGCCAAGGAGACAGTCTGAGCCCAGAGCCACAAACCTGCAGGGTCTAATATCTGTCCAGATTCTGGTTCAAAGTGACCCTAGAGGGACAAAGTCCTATCAGCTTTGGACTGAAAACCCCCTTGGACTTGATCAAAGCTTCAAGTCTTGACAGGAGTCCCTCCCGGGTGGCACTTATAGCCCACGCGGCCTGTAGAGAAAAGGACGGCTCTCCGATGACAGGGTGTTTTAGAAACTCTGAAAGGCAGCAGCTTTGTGAAATGTTTGCTGGGCAGGCTAGACTTCCAGCCTCCAGCCACTCTCCAGCATTTGAGAGCTGATGTAATTTCCTTCTTGTGGGAGGCCCGGGTGGGGGACAGAGTGCAGCCCTCGGAACAGGCTTCTGTGACCTGAACTTGGCCTCAAGTGGCGTGCACTTGGGAGCTTGGGTGAGAGCTTGAGAAGGAAGCCCTTCCCCCAGCTGGTTTCAAGAAGGGCTCTTGGGTTGGGTGCAACTGGTGTCTCTTTATTAAACCTGTTTACTTAGTGATGGAAACCGTTCGACGCGGAGTGGCTGGTCCCTCGCCCAGGGCCTGTTGAATCAGATGTCTTTCAATAAGGAAATAAGCAAGGAATGTTTACAATTTTTTTTTTTTGAATTTTCCTTTGGTGTTTGCTGAGATGATTTGCGTTGGATTTTAGGCAAGAGGAGCGGAAACTAGAAATCAGAAACCAAGAATCAGAATAAAACAGCAAGTAGTTTGTAGGTGGTCCCTTTTGCTAGTTTCGGCGGAGAGGACCAGGGGAGAGTCCCCGCGGCAGCTCGCTCAGCGGTGAAAGGATGCTTTGCGGTTGTGGGGGGGGGGTGGTTGTGCGGGGGCCCTGCATGACTGCACACCCTCTACTCTCAGGAACCACCCCTTCCCCCCTTCTATTTCAAAGCCTTTCTTGCTTTGCCTACCTTTTATAGATGATCTGTGTATGTATTTAACATCCTTCCAACAGCCTCCGAGATTGTTTATTGCTAGAAATTGCTTTGGATGATTAGGCTCCAGTGTGGGAAGGTGGGAGGGAGCAGGCCAGGGTTCGTCACAGCCAATGCAGGTAAACGTTTGTGCACCCGTCTCAGTAAATTAGTGGAATGTGTCGACTTAAAGGGAGATCGTACAAGACTGCAGACTGTCTTAGGCTACTTCAGACCTTTGGCCACTAGCAGGCTGACCCGGGTTGCCGGAAAGGAGCAAGTGCCTTTGAGTCCTCACTCTGAGGCTGCCGGTCAGGGATAGTTAGGGACACTGGGCACTGCGGCCCTCTCCTCGGTCTCCCAGAGAGAAGGGACAGTGGCCCAGAGTTAGAGAGCCTGTGTTCCCGTCCTCACTCCCAGTCTCCTATGTGTCTGCAAAGCGAGCCTCAGGAGGTCGACATTGGCCTTCACAGCTCTTGGGACCAGTTGACCCCCCACCGCACCCCCTAGGACTTAGGTAGAATAGATACAGTGGATGACATACATGGGTGGGAGAGAGCCAGAATCATCTTCTGAGTACAGTCTTGACCCATCAGTTTGGACAAAGGCAGGAGAATTTGCAATTCAGACAAGACATCTTTGTGAGGGTCTTTGTCCCTTAATCAAAGGGTCTTTGAGGGTCTTTGTCCCTTAATCAAAGACCTGGGAGATCCACTTGCTGGGTACGGAGAAAGTAACCTCAGCTCCACCATCCAAGTATTAGTACGGCTTGCTTTCGAAGCCCAGTATCCACGGAGGGTGTCTGATGACCACATGGGGTCACTACTCCCCTGGGCACCTAAAGAGCCACACGCACCCGGACCGCAGTGTCTTGCCTCTCAGAATTGTTTTCGCTGACTGGGATTCTTGCCGTTAAGGCTTTGGCCAACATTGAAAGACAAGGGTACAAGACGGTCCCGTGGAGTCATTATTTCCTACATGGAAACCCTGCCATTGATTGAGAGGTGTCTGGGACGGCTTCCTTTCGGATTTCGGTTCTAGGAAGAGCCGTGCTTCTTCCAAGTAACTGGTGTGTTTTTAACTTTTGGCTTGCGTGCATCACGTCCTCGATTATTCCTTCTTTTCACCAGCTGCCTGGAAGCTTGGAGCGCTGCCTCTCTCCAGCTACTCAGAGGCAGGACATAAATTCTGTGGTATCAGCATTGCCTGTAGTTTTTTGCCTTTTGTCTGATTTTCCCGTCCTCCTGATCGCGTTCTTTTCTCTTTTCGTGACCTGCCTATACTCCTACTGTCTGTGTTGGCCACCTCACGTATACTTTGAAACCAAAGAAGGATATCCCAGCTGGGGGAGGCTGGTGCAGACTGAAAGCGCATGTCTAAGAGGCGGCAGCGTGGGGGGTTCTCAGGCTTTTCCCAGGAACCCCCAGGTCCCAGCACTACAAGGAGTATCTGCAAGATGATTAAGAATTCATGGAAGGAAGCCTTGCTGTCTCGGGTGACTTCCTTATCAGTACTGGAGCGCTTACATGCCAGGCTCTGAGCTAGGTGACGGGGGTTGAGATGTGGTCCCTGCCCACATAGCGCCAACAGCTGGGTTCTGATCCAGTTCCAAATTCTGAGCACATTCAGCTTTTGATCCAACTTGGTCAGAGCCCTCTCTGGCCCAGATGACAGACAGCAAACTTCCCTTGAGGAGAGCAGAGCACCCAAGGAGCGTAAATGTGTAAGCCAGTCTGTGCAGGGTGCTCTGGCGTGTGTTTTCCAGGGACGGGGGCAGGCAGGGACCAGTATCCTCTCGACGCGGCCCAGAGAAGGGCCCAGTTACTTTTACATCTCAAAGGTCAGAGGAGAAGAATCATAGAGGAACCCTGTTGACATTTAAGTCCCAGGACACGATTTGGTTTCTGTAATATTAAGACAGACGTTTCCCGACCTGTACCCAGTGCCCTGAGAAGCGTGGGAGGCCAGTTTGTAATGGCTGCTTTGAAATGCTGGGGTTGGCGGGGTGAGAGGAAGCAACCTGCTTGCAGCCCAAGGGACTCCTCATACTTGACACAGACTGTCACCCTTTGGAGGTGGCATGAGTCTCGTATGCAGCGCCTTCTCAACCAGTCTCCGCTGCTGAGCTCAGTAATGGAACTGGGGGGCCCTAGACCTACTACATCCTTATTAAGCAGCCCAAGCCAGGGGCGCCTGGGTGGCTCAGTTGGTTAATAAGCCTCTGACTTCAGTCTAGGTCATGATCTCACCGTTCCTGAGTTCAAACCCTACATCAGGCTCTGTGCTGATGGCTCAGAGCCTGGAGCCTGCTTCAGATTCTGTCTCCCTCTCTCTCTGCTCCTCCCTCGCTCACACACACTCTCTCTCTCTCTCTCTCTAAACATTAAAAAAAAAAATTTTTAAGAAGGTCAAGCCAATTTCTTAAGAAATATATACATTTTCTTTCCAATACCTCTGCTCTATTCAAGAAGAGCTTATGTCTTCCCCTCTGCAGAGACCTCAAGCCCTCCAAAAAACTTGGGTGGTGACAGGATCTGGAGGGCGGGGTTTGTTAGTCTGCCTTTCTAGACACGTTTCCCACCACCGGTAGGACCCCGGCCCAAACAGCCTGGGCGGGGGGGGGGGGAGGAAGGGCGGGGGAGGGGTGCTGCAGGCCCAAATCCAAAAGTGAGGGCAAGGATCATAAGCCACAAGAAGCAGAACCGTTATCTGTAGGACGATACCCATCACATCGCTGATGTGTGGGGCAGTCTACACCATCACCACTGCTCTCCAGCTATTTCTACCGTGCTTTCCCTCAACAGCTATCAGATCATGTTGGACTGCTGGCACAAAGACCCAAAAGAAAGGCCAAGATTTGCAGAACTTGTGGAAAAACTAGGCGATTTGCTCCAGGCAAATGTACAACAGGTAAAGCTAACCTAATCTAGAATATCAGAAGATATTCTGATACGCCTTTGAATGTAAGTCAAGGGGGGAGGTATTTTATTTGTTGTCTTAAGAGCTGTTAATAGCTGAGATCAGAAGCTAAAAAATAAATGTGTGTGCACGCAGAATTATCTTCCCCAAACACAAGAAAAATTGTGGACATGACATAGTGGAAGCTGGTATGTTGCACAGAAATGGGCTGAAATAGAAATCTGTACAATTAAAGCTCTGTCTTTGGTATTTTAGGATGGTAAAGACTATATCCCACTAAATGCCATACTGACAGGAAATAGCGGGTTTTCATACTCGTCTCGTGCCTTCTCTGATGACTTCTTCAAGGAAGATATTTCAGCTCCACAGTTTAATTCAGGAAGTTCTGATAATGTCAGGTAAGATTTCTTTCCTTCCTCAGCTTTACCTTATAAAATTTTCAGACAGAAAAAAAAGCTCACCTCCCAAATTCAAACGCAGTTAACATTTTGCCCTATTTTGTCTCTGCGCATATACTCTGCATGTATGTGGTTCTTTTTGCCCAACTGTTTGAAAGAGAGCTTCGGGCGTTATAACGTTCTACCCTAAATCTTGTAAGATCTTTCTCCTGTTACATCAAAATTATCACACACAGTGGGGCGCCTGGGTGGCGCAGTCGGTTAAGCGTCCGACTTCAGCCAGGTCACGATCTCGCGGTCCGTGAGTTCGAGCCCCGCGTCGGGCTCTGAGCTGTCAGCACAGAGCCCAAAGTAGGGCTCAAACCCACAAACCATGAGATCAGACCTGAGCCGAAGTCAGACACTTAAACCAATTGAGCTATCCAGGCGACCCTTGATAGTTTCTTAATATTATTAAATATTCAGGTTTCCATAAGTTCCCCAGATGTCTTTTATACCTTAAGAAAAAACAAAAAACAAATCAGCATCCAGTCAAGAACAGTACATTGCATTTTCTTTACTCTTATTAAAAAAAATTTTTTTATGTTTATTTATTTTTGAAAGAGAGAGAGACAGAGTGAGAGCAGGTGAGGGGCAGAGAAAAAGGGAGACACAGACTCTGAAGCAGGCTCCAGGCTCTGAGCGGTCGGCACAGAGCCCGACGCGGGGCTCGAACCCACGAACCGTGAGATCATGACCTGAGCTGAAGTCGGACACTTAACCGACTGAGCCACCCAGGTGCCCCTCTTGACTCTTATTTAGAATAACCTTACATCTTCCCCCCCCCCCAAAGACTTTTTTTTTTTTCATGAGACCTTAGATAAAATAATTTGTTTTTCTTACTGGATACACTAACATACCATTCATTACTGTAGAGGAAAATTGGAGAAGGGACAAGGGAAAATGTATGGATTCAGTGTCTCCACTGGGTGCTGGGCGGGGGTCAGCTCTTCAGTACTAACGATTATATGTGTGTCAACACGTCATTACCAGTGGCTCTGTGTGTATCCCACATCAATGCCAACAGTCATATATGAATCAAACATCGCTACTAATGGTTACGTGTGTATCATACACATTCAGCACTGATGCTGTGCGTGGTCTGGGACTGTGCTGGGCTCTTTGTACAAAGCATCAATTCCTTTAATGCTCAAAACAATACTATACGGTAGATATTATTATTACCGTTACACAAATGGGGCCCTTAAGGCTCCATGGAAGATAGCGTGCCAAAACTGTGTGCCTAGAAAGTGGCGGAATAGAGTCTGTGACCCAGGTATTTTAACACTGCGTCCTTGTTTCCATGCAGTTAGGACTATGTTTAGGATGTTTAAGACTATCCTATGGGCCTTCTAGTGTCTTCATCTGCAGTAGGCACAACCCCAGAGCTTTGACCTCAGTGCAGCCAAACTGGGCAGGTGACCAGGGGAGGCATAGCTAAGGGTTGGGCCAGTCTGAAAAGACTGACAGCCATCTGTGACAGGCCGAGAAGTCCAGTGACCAGCCCCGATTTGTGGTAATGGGTTACATGTCGGTGGCACTGCTCCTTGTCCGTGACCAGCCCAACAGGCTGCAACAAATGAATCACCCATTTCTTTTTAAAGACAAGAAAACTAGGTCAGACCGAACACATTCGCAGTAGCTGATTGTGTCAGAGATGAAGGAGGGAAGCTGTCAAAGTCGTTTGAGCCCTTTCAGGGGGTTGCTCAGCCTCCGACCAATGAAGCGCTCATCTAGAAATCGGGCCTTGCAGATGGTGACAGGGTTTCAGACTGAGAAACTCCGTCAGTAGGTGAACTTGCCCGAGGAAGAGCCAGATGGTGGAGATCTCTGCCAGCCTTCCTAGTGGGTCATCAACAAAAGGTCAGGAGGTAGTTATAGGGAAGACACACAGTTACAACCCATTTCTCCCAGTCTGTAATCCCAGAACAGAATATACAAGACTAGCCATTAAATCAGCTGTGTGGCCTGGAGAGGTCATTTCATTGGTCTCCTCACATCCTTGGAGAAGTAGGCAGCTACACATTATCAAGTCACCCCCCTTTGCTGGGCATCATTTCTCTCCTCTGTAAGATACGGCGTTTAGACCACGAGATGACTCGGGTTTCTTCTGGGCCTGACATTTCCCCAGTTCCACAAGGGACTACAGGCCTAACCACTACTGAGTCTCTCCAGGGTCCCTGTGGGATTTTGCTCAAAACTGTGCAGTGTGGATTCACAGCCGTAGGGGGGAAGTGGCCACCACTGTCAGGATTCCCAGGAGAACACAGCAGGAAAGTTCCAGTACTCTGGTTCATCTCAGCTGGGAGACAGTGCCCATAGTCCCCCGACTAATAAAAACTAGATGCATTTTCCTATGTTGATTATCCTTCTGCTTCTTCCTCAGATATGTAAATGCTTTCAATTTCTTGAGCTTGGAGAGAATCAAAACCTTTGAAGAACTTTCGCCAAATGCCACCTCGATCTTTGATGTAAGTGATGGGATTAGCCTACTTAGTGCACTATGGCAGGACCGTTTGCCAGACTCTTACCCAAGCACAAGCTCCAGTAACCTGCTGGCTCCCAGTTCATAGGGGTCAGTAATGAGTGGCTCAGCCAACAATTTCAGGGGACAAGACTTAGCCAAACGGAGCTGATGTGAAAACAGGTAATTCTGTAGTTTGACAGTGACCTAGAATTCACTCCAGGGTCCAAGTCCTCACCTGGTCATAATTTAGTCCCTTGGGTCACAGTTTAGTCAATAACTCCACGGTGGGTTTCTAAGCTTCTTAGCTATCAATGATGGAACCCTGTCTTCAGATTAATGGAGGAATCCAAAGCCGTGAGTAGCTGGGTCTTCCTGATCTAACAGAAAGCTCTCTCATAAGAGTAGCCTACCTCGGTCTTACGTCCCTCCCACTAGGGTTCTAGAGGCTGAATAGCCATGTTCCCCCCCCCCCCCCCCCCCCCCAGCCACGATGGGAGAAGTAATCCGGAACAACCTGGCAAACCCAAGGCCCCACCCAGCTTGTACTTGGAAGCTCTGGGCCTTGAGGTTGAGGGAGAACCGGGCAAGAGTACACTTTGCTTCAAGACCCTTACACTCAAAGTGATCTCCAGGCCAGGTAAGCACGGTTGCCACTAAACGGGCTAGGAATGTGGAATCTCAGGACCCACCCACACTCCCAGAGTCAGACTTCGCACTGTCACAAAGTCCCCAGGGGACGGATGTGAACAGTGAAGTTTGAGAAGCAGGGGTGATGCCCACGTCCCATAAAGGGCCTGGAAGAACCGCCATGGTGTGAAGGTGATGGCCACAAACCCAGTGGCCTGGAGATTAAAAAGCACCAAAAGCTTCTCAAACACACTAGATAAAGAGGAGAAAGTGATCAAAACATTTAAAAACATGACAAGTCATACAAAAGTAGCTGGAAATTTTGTTTTTCTGCTTTGGTTTTAAGTGCTAGGAAACGACACTGAGCAAAACACGGAAGACTTCTCTCAACCTTAACCCCCCCACCGGGATTCAGTGGGGACTGCAAGCTCCTTGGCTTGCTTAGGCTTGTCTACTGATGATCAAGGACACAAACACAACCCAAGGGAGACTCAAGGGTGGCAGGAACAAAGAGTCCACTCACTGGGAATGCTGTGTTAGCACAGTAAGGAACACCTGCCTAAAACCCGATGCTAAGGATGAACCAACGAGAAAATGGAATGTTGAAGGGTGCCTGGGGGCGCTCAGTTGGTTGAGCGCCGAACTTCGGCTCAGGTCATGATCTCACGGTTTGTGAGTTTGAGCCCCACCTCGGGCTCTCCGCTCTCAGCCTGTTTCGGATCCTCTGTCCCCTCTCTGGCTGTCCTTCCCCACCTTGTGCTCTCTCTCTCAAAAGCAAATAAAACATTAAAAAAGTCAATTAAGGGGCGCCTGGGTGGCACAGTCGGTTGAGCGTCCGACTTCAGCCAGGTCACGATCTCGCGGTCCGGGAGTTCGAGCCCCGCATCAGGCTCTGGGCTGATGGCTCAGAGCCTGGAGCCTGTTTCCGATTCTGTGTCTCCCTCTCTCTCTGCCCCTCCCCTGTTCATGCTCTGTCTCTCTCTGTCCCAAAAATAAATAAACGTTGAAAAAAAAAAAAAAGTCAATTAAAAAACATGGAATTGTGCTGGAAACCATGACAGCTGAGGGTCTGACAATTCCATAGGAGTCATAAGAAAAAAAACAGATTTTTAAACCATGTCTTCATAATTTCTTGGTTGTTGTTGTTCGTTTTTGTTTTGTTTTGTTTTTTTCTTGAGAGAGAGAGAGTGTGAGCAGGGGAGAGAGAGAAAGATCTCAAGCAGGCTCCAAGCTCAGTGCAAAGCCCAACATGGGGTGTGATCCCACAACCCTGGGATCATGACCTGAGCCCGAGTCAAGAGTCAGATGCTTAACTGAGCCACCCAGATGCTCCAGTTTCTCAGAATTTTTTGTGTGGTACACCTTTTGTGTGGCCACCAGAGAACAGCATACCCATAGATGATAGTCATCTGCCAAAATTCGTTTTAGTGTATGTAGGCAATAATTTGTATAAAAGTTTACTATAAAAAATGCTCACCTGTTACTTGCAGTTTTCCCTTGTGTTTAAATGCATTTCCTTCCCCTTCGGGGAAGAAGGGCCTCCAAGTCACTGGGAATAACAGGCATTGCTTGCGACAAAATGTAGATTTGCCCCCTATGGAGAAAATGCTTTGTCTTAATAGGCAGGTGAGGACAGAGCTTGGGGTGACTTTGAGTGCGCAGCCAAGTGGTGTCCCCCCCCCCCAACTCAGCGTGGCCCCCTCTGGGTGAGGCAAGAAGTGTAACCCTTTTTCCTCCACCCCCCCCCCAACAGGATTACCAGATGGACAGTGGCTCTCTGCTGGCCTCCCCCTTGCTGAAGCGCTTCACCTGGGCTGAGAGCAAACCCAAGGCCTCACTGAAGATTGAGTAAGGAAATGGGGGGGGGGGGGTCTTTTCTACGATCAATCGATGGAGGGGTGTGAAGGAAGATGCTGGGGAAAATGTAATGGGGACACTTGAGGGCTACTTGCCCCCCTGAACTACAGTGTCCAGGCATTGCAGAAAAGCACTATTTTCCCCCTCAGAAGGGCAAGAAGGAGGGTATAAAATCAGGGCCATGAGCACCAGAGCAGAGAAGGAAGCCTGGGATTTAAGAAGTGAAAACACGCAGAAAACTCCCAACAGAGACAGGCAGTCCAAACGCGTGAGGCACAGTGACTCGGTTGGAAGGAGCCTGACATGCCCACCTGTGAACAGTGCCTAAGTCAGATGGAGACGTGCTCGTGGGGGCGGGGAGGGGAGCTAGCCTGCGATCACAGCCTCGGCTGGCAAAATCTGTACAGGAAGCGTCACAGCCCTGTTTTCCGGTAGTAAGACATGCCATCCCGAGACACCAACCCTTCCAAACGAAAGCTTGTTTCCTGTTGGATCCTGGCATTCCATCCCTACAGTGGCCGTCGGCAAGTACCGTTGGAATTACTTAGGCTCCGGCTTTTTATTCCACTGGCCCTGCTGTCACTTCAGCTTCTCTGTGCTCGTCTCTACCTGGGAAGAGCACCGGACAGGCAGACTATCCATCAGGGATTCCTTCCTTCCCGCGTTCAAATGCCTGCCCTGTCTACCCCAAAGTCAAGAACCTGACCGTCTTTTCTTCAGGAGCCACACACAAAACAGCTACTCAACCCTGCCACTGCAGTATAAGAGCAGCCATCAACAACGTATAAACAAGGAGATGTGGCTGTGTTCCAATCACCTGTATTTACAAAAACAGGTAGCCGTGGCCAATGAGCACAAGAAAAGATGCTTAAGGTCACGGGTCATCAGGAAAATGCAAATCAGCTTCACCCCCCACTAGGATGGGTAGAACCAAAAAGTTGAAGGCGACGAAAGTCTTGTGCGTTGCTGGTGGGGATGTAAAACGGTCTGGCCACTTGGGGAAACGGTCTGGCCGTTCTTAATCAAAAAGGTTAATTAGAGTTACTCTGTGACTCAGCAGTTGCCCTCCTTAGGTACACACCCACCCAACAGAAGGAAAACTTAACGTTCACGCAAAAACTTGTACACAAATGTTCGTAGCAGCATCGTTCATAATGACCCAAAGTAAAAGCAAGCCAGATGTCCTTCAGTTGCTGGATAAAATGCAGTAGACTCATACGATCGAGTATTATTTGCCAATAAAAAAGTACGCGGTACTGATACATGCTACAACGTGGACAAACCTTGAAAACGTCGTTAAGTGAACGAAGCCAGTCACCGCCGACCACGTGCGGTAGGCTTCCATTCACATGAAACGCCGGGCGCAGACAGATCTGTGGAAAGAAAGTAGACCAGTGGTTGTCTAGGGCTGGGGGGTGGGAAGTGTGGGAGAAGGGCAATTGGCTATACTAATGGGTATGGGTTTTGGGGGATGACAATGGCCTGAAATCAATTGTGTTGATGGTTGCACCATCTATGAATATACTAAAAACCATTCGGCTGGACCCTTTATTTTTTTTAATGTTTATTTTTGAGAGACAGAGACAGAGCGCAAGAGGGGAGGGGGAGAGAGAGGGAGACACAGAATTGGAAGCAGGCTCCAGGCTCTGAGCTGTCGGCACAGAGCCTGACACGGGGCTCGAACTCACGAACCGTGAGATCTTGACCTGAGATGAAGTTAGATGCATAACCAGCTGAGCAACCCAGGCGCCCCTCAGCTGGACACTTTAAACAGTGAACTGTATCTCAATAAAGCTGCTTAAAAACAAAACAAAGCATGCAGGTGACCAGCCCACAGGTTGTAGTTTGCTGATCTTGATCTAAGTCAAAAGATCGCTCCAAATGCCTCTCTGAGTGATATGAATCCAAAGGGTAGGAACATGGCCAGGCAAACATCTGCAGTTTCCTGTTAACATAAGCACAACGATGATCTCAGAGTGGAGTCCCCTCAGACGGTAACAGGTTAGGGGACCCTCACAAAGAATAAGTATACACAGGAGGAAAGGAAGCAGGATAACACAACCTTTTGTTTCCTACTTTGGAACACTTACCTAGATCTTTGTGAAGGAAAACTATCGCACCCTCCAGAGATTAAAAATATAGATAATGTAGGGGCGCCTGGGTGGCGCAGTCGGTTAAGCGTCCG